CCCACAGCGAGGGGCTCTGCCCCCCGCTCCAAGCGGGGGGAGCGGACGCGGGCTCGCTGTGGGGCACCCCGAGCCCAGAGGGACCCCCACATTCTCTCGCCCTGCTTCCTGCCCCTTGGAGAGGGGTGGCAGAGCTGCCGTTAAAAACCGGGAGCGAGGCCCTTTGGAGAGCCACCTTTCCTGCCATATTCCGGCTGCGCTTCTATAAATATCTAAGGCTTCCCAGGGTTTATCCGCGCTTGGATCCTCCCTGCCAGAGAGCGCTCCCTCCCTCTCTCCCTCCCTCCCTCCCTCTTTCCTCCGCAAGTGGGAGTAGAAACTTTACCTGTGCGGAGAGGAGGCGTGGGGGAGCATTTCTCCTTTTTTTTTTTTTGGTGAGGATTTCTCTGTCCCCGCAGCAGCTCCGGGCAGGTGCCGGCTCTGCCTGAGACCCCCGCGGGATTGGGAGGCTGCCCCATCCCGTGCGTGTTGTGCCCTCGGCAGAGCCCCTAAAAGCACAGTGAGGGAGAGAGGGGATAAGGACACCATCAAGGCAAGGGCAGATCCACATCCAGCCCTCCGCAGCCCCTCGCCCCCTGCCTGGGCTTTTGCAGGAGGATTGGAGGTCAGGCAAGACCTTCCCAGCCATGACCCTAGATTTGGGCAGAGGCAAAGAGGGGGAGGAAGGGGCAGGGGGCTGTCACAAAGCTCAGATGCTCATTCATGGGGACAGGGAGCATGAGTCCCCCTGTCCCCTTTTAATTCCCAGTCTCTCCTACTGCTTTTACCCAGGACTTTGCCTTCCCTGCAAGCCCTAGCACAGGCAAAAGGAGGTGCCTCCTAATATTGTACCATTGAACAACAGGGATCCTGAGGCCTTGCAAGGTGTGCAGGGTGGGGAGATGGCTAGTCCACCCCCTTGACCCCCAAGGGTCTCTTGCTGACAGGCAGGAGAGCTGGGCGTGCAGCACTCCTGGTCCAAGGACCCTGGTGCTGCCCTGCAGCCAAGCCCTGGGGTAGCAGAGCAGGGGGATAGCACATGGGGTGACGGGTGGCCTGATGTGCCCCAGCTGCGGCTCTGTGGGGAGCAGCAGTGCGTGGGTGGTTGCAGGGTGCTCTGTAGGAGGGGATGCACGCAGGGTGCTCTGCAAGAGGGAAGGGGTGGATATGGGGGATTTTCAAGCTCTCACCCACGCCACCCTGAAGCAGCAGTTTGTGTTGCCTCCATATCTCCTGGTTCCCCTTCCCCGCCAGCACTGCCTTGTTTCCCCATCCAGGGTGCAGGTCTCAGAGAAATGGGGTGGGATGGAGCAGGTCGAGGGAGGAATGGGGGAACAGGCTGGGGGCCAAGGGACCCACATCAGCTTTCCCTCAGCCCTGCCTTCAGTAGGCAGAGGTAGATCTCATCAGGGAGAAGGAAAGCATGGTCAAAGCTGGTGCTCTTCCTGGGAACCCTGAGCTCTAGCCCGGTGACATACACCTGCCAGACCTGTTGGCTCAGCCCACTCCAATCCTGGTGCCTCTTGCAAACCCCTCATCAGTGAGACCCATAGCCAGGCAAAGGAGGGCACTGGGAGCAGACCCCACTGTCCTTGTCTGGGCAGCATTCTCAGGATGCCTGAGCTGGTGGCCAGGTTTTACACTGTACCCCGATATCCAAGAGCATGAAGAGATCATGGGAGATGCAAAATACAGAGCAAGGGCTAAAATCCCCACCTTCCATCCCTATTTATTCATGTAGGCTTTGATTTTATTCCCATTTTGGAATATCAACTGTTGCTGTAGAAAAAACTCCATTAACCTACAAACTTCCTCAGCCCTCATCTGTCGGGGGAAAGGTGCTTGAATTCTGCATTTCGTCTTGCCACTGGAGCTCATCTGGGACAGTTTCTTGTGCTTGGTCTGGAAGAGGGCAGGTGGATGCCGGCTCCAGTGCCTAAGACATTCTGCACTAGCGCATGGAGACGCGCTTGGATTCCCACACTGGACTCTTGTTGCCTGGGCTGGCACCAGGAATTGGTGCTGTAGCGCTCAGTGTCTCTGCAGTACCATGTGGGAGGTCTGGATTTGATTCCCAGTGCTATTTTCTCATTTCCCCAATCTGGCAGAGTATGGGAGTGCTGTGCAGACAGCGCTGTTTGTCTCCCTGCAATGGACTTCATTCCCTGCTCCTGTCTTTCGCTCCTTAGGGTGGGCCAAAGCTGCTTGTGAGCTGGCCTGGCCTGTGGGCTGGTCCCTAGAGGTTTAAGCTGCTTGGCTTAGGGAGACCACAGCCCCACTCTGGCTGTACTCAGCATGGCTTGGTGGGCAGCGGGGAAAGAGAGTTGTCCTGCAGTTGAAGAATAGGGAGTGGCTTTTTATTTTGTGTGTGTGTGCGTAAGCCTCTATTTATCACAAAGAAATGGATTTATTGATAGGAGAGATGAATTAGATGATCTTTTTGAGAGAGATGGCTTCGTACACCAAGACTGCCTTGTCTACAGTGGGATACCAGTGGTACCCGCTCTGCCTGATGTCCAGATGCTAAGACTGCCCGACTCTTTTGTGATTCTGTGATCAGTCTTCTTGGAGATACGCTTATACTTGGTAGAAAAGCAGGGAGAGATTGGGAGAAATGTGACTGATAACGGCTCGCAACCTGGTCCATCCTCCAGCTACCCGTCTGTAAGAATTCTTTCTACCACAGTGAATCAACTTGTTCAGTCACTTCGCCGCAGTCAAACGTACCAGGTACTGCTCTGGGTGCCGCCCTGCATAAGATAAAATGGCATTTTGGAGATCGCAGTATTGAAACATGTGGAAGGGGAAGAAGAGGCAAGTCGGAGAATAAAAACTAGGCATGACCTTCCTACTACCATTGTCTTGTATTTTACTCTGAGTCTTACTTTTTGCTTCAGCTAAATGCGTCATAGCAGGAGCTAGAAAGACTATTTCTCTGGCCATGAAGAAGGTTCCAGTGACTTGTCTTGCTTCTCTATCCAAAAGCAGGAGAAGAGGTTCCCAGCAGGTCGAGATTGATGCTGCTCTAGCAAAGTTAATAGCAGTTGTCTAGTTAGAAGCTCTAGTTACCAGTTAGCACTGATAAATGCTTGAGAATCAGGAGACTAACCAAGCCAGGTTAAAAGTCAAAGCTTCCTTTTATTTATTTTTTTTTGGAGGGAGGGGAATAATCCAGGTTTTATAGTTCAAGAACTCAGGGCTTTCTTGAGCCACAAGTCACTAGTTTCCAGATCGAATTGTGCGTCAGTGTGTGAACCGACGTGTTTAAAAGTTGACCAAGTGCACACTGGTGATCTGTGCAAACCAGGCACCGCCATGTGCCTGAGGTCACCTGCAGTGAAAAACACTGTGTGTGCTGTTGATTGGAGGCAAGGAGAGTACTCTGGGAAAGCAAGCTTATCCCCTTGCCTGCGGAGAAACGAATCTGTGGCACTGGGCAGTGTGCAAACTGTGCTGTGACCAAGCCAATTGATACCATAGCTAATTTGGATCTTTTGAGGCGTAGCTGCTCTTTGTTTAGTATTTCGGTTTTTTTTAGAAGCAGGAGAACCTGGAGCACTAGCCTTGGGCAGGAGGAGCGGTTGGCTTCTATTTCTTTATATTTTACATATCCACTGCATGTTTTTAGCATTAGGGAAATAAAAAACACTGCTTTCTCCGTAGTTATGCCCACTAAAAATGGGAAAGGAAATTGGGAAGTGAAGCAGTTTGCCCTATGGTACGTGTTCTATAATTTACCATCAATTGATATTTCCTGATGATGATTCCAGAGGGGATCTATTGTCTGTAAAATACGGTGTGCTGGATAGGCATCTTCGCTTTCCAACATTAACAATATAAGGCAACAATCAGAGCCACAAATATACAGGGATTGATTAAGCTTCTGGGGAAAATGAGGAATTATGAATGGGAGTGTGGTTATTGGCTCAGATTGAAGAGATGCAAAGTTGACACTTCTGTAGCATTCACTCCCCATCTCTATCTGTATCAAAGATTCTCATCAAAGAGTCAGTGGACATGGCTCAGTTGAAGGTTGCCAGGTCAGAGTATTGAAGATCCTCTCTCT